CTTGGTCGCTTTTCAAGTTAGTAGCCGTGTCTTTCAGGCGGCCCGCAGCGTGTGTTGACTGGCGGGTAGTAAGGTTGATTCCATCTGGCGATGAAGACCAATTGCTAGTCAAGGCTGCAGAGGTGCATGAATTGCTGAGAACAATGCATACCATGGACAATGCTGTAGGTATACTTGGTAAGAAGGATGCGTTGGTGCGGTGCGGTAGTGCACAGCCACCAAATCTCAGACTTACCCCACCCTACCGCATCACTACCGCACCCATGAAGTACTATATTCACTGTGATACTATAATTCTTACACAAAAACATGTACTATGGTATTTCCTAATCATAAGTCATGTCTAAGACCTTTGTGGACGACGTAAACATGTTATACACATATAAGACACTTGTTGTGGGTGCCGCAGGCACGATGCGGCAAAATCCTAAGGCCCAAACAGTTGTTGTAATGCTCGCTGTACCTGATAATATACTTTTGTTTGTTTACCTCACATCTGGGCTTTTCGCATGAGATTTCTCCTCACCCTCCTACGCTCGCCGCCCAAGCCTTCACTCTTACCCCACTGCAAATATGGCACGCGGCCCTTCTCTACACCTGCGACCCCTTCATTTGCGTCCGTGAAATCCAGCATTCCCCAGATAGGCAGCTCTAGCTCACCCTTGACGATCACCCGACAGCGTGCAAGGATAGTGGGCGAAACCGGGGTGAGCATATGCATGTGCGATGAGCTAGGCGACAGATGGCACGAATGAGAGCGAGGCCATGGCAAGTGGAGGTCGAGGGTACGGGCGGATATCTGGCTTGGACGTATGGCAATTCCCGGGCGCCAGACGGGTCTAGATACACTGGATCTTCGGTTCCAGGTTCGCATTCGACAAGACCAACGATCGCGCCGGTTAAGACGTTGGAGATCTCTGAGGGTATTACGTCCTCGTATCCTGCACCAATCAGGATGACTTGGTCAAATGCCCGACTCCAGTCCACCTCGTACGGATACCGGGCACAGAGAGGATGAGAGGTCTCCATTTGGTTGCTGTCATTTGACGAAGAGGAGCGGATGGATATGGAAACGACATCGATGTAATAGATGGAAAGATAGCATAGAAATAAGACAGGATGTTCAAGTTGCGCTGGTCGACGGCATTAAAATGCGCATTTGCTAAATTTGGTGATATTGCTTCGAGAGTATGCTGGAGCGCCTTGGTCGGCGTGGACTGGAGAATGTCATAGGCTGGCCAACCCTTCTCCTCCGAACCGACGACCTCAAACAAGTGAGTAGCCTCGGCGAATTCTTCGATCTTGGCATTTAGGTTAGCACCGAGACCCTTTGTCCACCCCATTGTATTGACCACCAGGGGAATAACGTCGGTGACCCTCGTGTCGATCGACTCGTCATCAGGCATCGAAGTTTGGATCTCGAACTTGTACGTTTCGAGGAGCGCTTGAACGGCCGCAAGATAGTGTGCCGGACTGCACCGTGGTGAAGTCGCTCCAACGTAGTGCGCTCGGTATGGAAGGCTAGGATGTGTGAAAGGCGGGCCTAAGATACAAAGATAGTTGAAGGGCGCTAATGAGTTAATGTAGTGATCACTCACCAAATACCGGTGTATCTATAATATTTAGGGCGACCAAACCCCCAGGTGTGAATTCAGACTGCCCTACGTCGCATTCAAGATATGCGACGCGCCGAAATCTATAAAGTATTGTTAGCGGTGTTCATATGTATTGAATTCCAAACATACCTTGTTAGAAGCCTGTTCAAAAGCGTCCGAGCAAATGTACTTTTTCCGGACTTTTTCGGACCCTTGACAACGTACACTGAGGGTTGTATGGGATCCGCTGAAGATGGCGGCGTCTCTGCCGCGCTCAGGGCAATACTCCACGATTCTGGTAATACGAACGGTAGCACGTCCCTGTCGCTGTGCGTCATCTGTATGATAGGATAAATTATACTTTACATACATTCAAGTACAGCACACGTACCAAGTTCACGCCGGGCCGTATAACCTCTGCCGAGCTTCGCTGCCAACGCGAAGGTTCGAAAACTCCATCAAAGACGCGATATACCCGTCCGAGACCCTCCACTCCCGTATCGAGCGATCGAATTGCCACTACAGCTCCGCCGTGATTCTGTCTCACGCGAGGAGGGAGAGAATATATGTCCAAGTCGGTATGTACGTTCGATGAGGCGCATTGCAAGATGGGGATCGGAGCAGAACGAGGAGCGAACACATGGTGAGCTGTCTTTGAGGCGGACAACGTTACACCGAGTATAGAAACAGATCCTTTCAAAACCGTAAGAGTAAATATCCCTAGAAGCGCGAGTGTGTCCTCTCGGTCGATGGAAAGCACCGAAGTCTCGTTTTGCAAGCCCGTGGTACTGGCTTCATCCGCGGAGAGTTCATAAACGTTAATATCACGAGTGGGTTTGAACGTGGACAGCTGGGAAGGCTCAGATCTCGAAGGCTGGGGGTACATCCCAGTGCAATACTATGTAGCTGCGAGTGATCATAGTCGTACAGCAGCGAAATTGACTCTGAGAATAGAAAACTTGCACAGCCACTAAAGTAGTTCAACGCCATCAACATTCACCAGGACAACGCTGAACACGCATCGAGCACCATCATTATTAGCATTCCTTCGTCGCCTGCAAAGCTTGTTTTTTTTTTACCTGCACACCGACCACCTTTCGTTTCTCATGTTTTGACAGCTTTCTTGGATTGTACTCTTATAGAATCTTCATCCTCTCAGGCCAATATTTCGTTAAATAATCACGTACAATATGCAAACACAAGACCACCAGCGACGTTCACCGAAGCGCCAGGACACTTTCGACCTTCGTGACCAAATTATGGCCGACGACCCTACAGCATCTGCACATATGCACGCCCATGCAGATGCAACCAATACCTATGCAGGCGCTTCTGATGAAGAGCATTCTGTTCTAGAAGATGACTCTGATGGCGAAGAGCGCGAGATAGAATATATGGACGAAGACGACGATCGTTCGTCTTCACTTTCTATTCCAAATGAATCTATCGACTTTGATTTGGTCTACTCGCTGCACAGCTTCGCTGCGACCGTCGAAGGTCAAGCCAGCGTTGTAAAAGGTGATAGCTTGTTCCTTATGGACGACAGTAACAGTTATTGGTGGCTTGTTCGTGTGCTCAAGACACAGGACGTCGGATATATTCCTGCAGAGAATATTGAGACGCCCTTTGAACGCTTGGCCAGGTTGAACAAGCACAGGAATGTGGACGTGAGTCCTGCACCATCCAACAAGTTTCAAACTCGTGACTTTCCTTCTCAGCTTGCACACGCGACACCACAAGAACTCCAAGAAGACGTCGAACGCGTGCGGAATAATCTTTCTTCTCGCGCTGGCTCGCACCATTCCCCTTCTCCTACCCCTGGTTTTCCACCTACAGGTGCTGGGCAAGGCAAAGGTGTCACATTTACAACTGCACGGTCTGTACACCGATATCCGCCTGCTGTCTGGCATGAGGAAGACGAAGAAGAAGAAGACATAGAGTGGGATGACGGTGCATATGAGGAAGAAGACCCAGACCTTGCAGAAGACATGCTTGTTCGACAGCGTCAAGGTCAGATGGGCCGCGATGAGCAGCAGGATTCTATGGGCATGCAGATGGAGCCGGATGACGGAATGAGCTGGGATGATAGCGTTGCAGAAGATATGCAAGCACAAAACGCGCAGAAGAAGATAGAGCGACAGATGCTTGTGGCGCCTGATACTCTGCGACCTAGCGGCACACCGGAGAGACAACAGGCGCAAATCCAGGTACAACAGCAGCCAGAGATAATAATCACCGAACAGAGGCAGCAGGAGGAACAACAGGCACTTGCTCAACAAGCTTTACGCCATCAATCTTCACGCGATCGTATCACTGTTGATGTCCTTTCGTCTTCACCGCCTTCATCTAGTAAGAGCATTGATCCTGCCGAAGTAACCGAAACAAGAAAACTCTCCGTGACGCCTTCAATTGCTCGTGATGAGCCAGTCAAACAAGCTTCAGCACCCAGCGGCCCCCTTCTTCCGAGCGCAATCATGCAGAAGCAAGAGGTCGAGCGACAACGCACCCGCGAGGAAATTGAAGTTCTCGAAGAGGCCTCGAAAAAGAAGCTCAAGAACAAGTCTCTACAGCCCATCTCGAATACCCCAGTCCAGAAGCCTGTGCAGGCGCCTGGTAAACTTCGCAAAGAGCAACGCGACACGACAGATGATGACGCAAAGGAGAAAAAGGAGAAAAAGAAAGGAGGCGTATTCGGACTCTTTGGCCGCAAGAAGGATAAAGGCAAGGATAAAAATTCCATCGAAACCGCTTCCAATGAAACCCGCGGGTCTCAAGAATCAGGGCAGTCCTCCAGCAACCTTCACGGACCCGCACCTGAACCTCCGATGTCCCCTGTCACTGCATCAGCCATGCAACAACAACAGCAAGTTCTTCGCACGCCAAACGATTCGAGGACGCCAACGAGACTTCAGTCACAACAGACGCCTCAGACACCGCCACAACAAGTACAGGCTCAGGTGTCGCAGCATGCGTCACAGCTGCGCCAGCGGGATCAGCAACAACAGGCACTGTATCAGCAATATCTCAATCGTTCGCCGTCATCGCCACCGGAAGCGCCTTCATACGGATTACAATCTGCTTCCGCTGTCTTATCAAGCTCGAGTTCGTATAATACCTCTGCCACCTCTGCCGCTGGGCTTGGGCTGGGCTTGCCCTCCTCTAGACCACGACCCGGCTCCCTCGTTCTTTCGCCCACTGCTGACGGACAAGGTGTTGGTGTGCCTGAGCTCAGCGTCATCCGTGTGTTTGCAGGCCAACACTTGCAGACCGAGGCGACTTTCAAGACTGTTCTTCTCAACGCATCTACTACTTCAGCCGACCTCGTTCGTCAAGCTATTCAACGCTTCCGTCTCCCCGCTGGCGAGGACGGAGCAGATTACTACCTCACTATCAAACAGGTGGAAGGTTCATCTGCAGATCTGCTTCCGGAAGAAAAGCCTCTCGGAGTCTTCGAGTCGCTTGTAGAGGCCGCCATGGAATTACCAAAAGTCAAGCGGAGCAGTGTGGGCAGTATCAGCTCCATCTCAAGCAACCTCTCCATGCATCCCGCCATAAAGAAGTTATCCATGAACGACTTCAGTGACGACTCCGTTGTCAAATTCTACCTCAACAGACGCCGTGATGGCGCAGATGACAGCGCCACGACAGAAGAAGGTGATGAGACAGTGCAGGCTGATACGTCTCACGATGTAGCCGAGGGTCTAACTACCTCGGTGAGCAGTGTCAACGTGACTCCTGATCGTTTCAGCTCTCCCTCGTACCGCTTCACGTTGCAGCTTGTTATCCATCCCGAGGACCTGCCCGATGATATGGTCTTCGACCCAGTCACAGAAGCCATCGTATTCAAGAACACGCTACGTGATAGAACCCATTCTACATCATCAATTTCTTCTGGTGTATCACAGGGTCAGCGCCGAAAAGTCTTTACCTTCCCGAAGAATGTCACTGTTGCTGAAGTAATTGAACTGGGACTTGAGCGTTTCGGCATCTTGGAAGGTGTCGTTGATGGTGGTGACGAAGTTGAAGATAAGATGACGAAGAGGCGGAGTACCAGCAAAGTCCGATATGGTCTCACAGCTGACGTTGGAGGGCAAGGTAAGAATACACATACACTTAGCATAAATGGATTTGAGTGCTGACTTCGTTGGTCCAGAACGAGAACTGTCACCTTCAAGTAAAGTTACCGATGCATATACTCGTCCTCCCAGTTTCCGCCGAGCTCAGGAAGGCAAGCGCAGATCTATCGATTCTGCTCAACTGCTTGGAAGCATAGATGATATTCATATCGATGATCCTGTCTTCATTCTCCGCAGAGCAATCTCTTATCGAACATCATCGTCTCGTCATCGCATGTCCGCGCCCCTTGATGAAATCGCCCTTCAACATTTCCGTGATTCAGTTTCTGGCTCTAGTCTCAGCTCTGATAATCAGACTTCGGGTACTGATGAAGTTAAACCGAGGCAGCTGTCAAGACAAGAGATCATTGCAGCACAGCGCGCCGCATCGCGAGCGAATCAGAAGGCCATTCTTTCGGCCCAGATGAACTCACTGCGCGGCGTAGATGTTCTTCTACCCGGAAACGCCATGATCCGCAGCTCCAGGTATGACGCTGGAGACAAGATGCGCTATTCATACGTGCAAGACGGCGAGTCGTTTGACATCAGTGACATTGTCGAGCAAGAGTTTTGCGAAGGCAACTCGGCACAAAAGAACGACTTGCTAGAAGGCGTCCTCGGGCGCAATAAAGAAGGCATGAACGAGAAGATTGATCGCGTACTGAACAAAATCAAAGATGGTCGACTTCACGCTCAATATGTCGTTGCGGCCTCGAGTCAGTCTGACGGTCTTCCCTCTGGTGGCTCTGGCTCTGCACCCTCAGAATATTCCGTCGATGATGCCGTGACTCCCCCTTCTGGTTCTGACGGCAGGACTCCCACACCGCTTGCGAGTAGTGTCACTGGGGCTCGACGCGTTGCATCACCAGTGTCTGACATATCTCGGACACCGACACCTACTGCAGCAGATGGCCGACACAGCCGCACCCGATCTACTACCCCGTCATCAAAGCAAGGAACAAATGCTCCTCGCCCTATTCGTCAATCGTCGATCGCTTCTGTCATGTCAGAAGTATCGACGTATGCTACCCCCACTGGACAGCTCATCAGCCCCCCTGAAACGCCGCGTATCAACACCACCCCCAAACCGCAAATTCCCAAGCGACCGTACATTCCCAAAGATGACTTCGGTCTCTCGCATATGATGGCGATCATTGAAATTGCTAGTGCAGCACCCAGGGTGCCTCAAACCTCTGTACACCCAGTGGACGAGTCACTGTTTGGAAAACCAATAGATATGACGACTCTACACCCAGATATTCAAGAGATATACGCGGGTGCTTTCCAACAACTTGATGAGATGGATAAGGTAAGAGATGTGTTGCTGATCGAACAAAATGTTTCGTGCTGATACACTTGGATAGACATTAGATGAATACCTTCAATACGTCATTAGCGCTCGTTAATTATTGATGCAATTTGTTAGCTTTTGGTGTATATATTTGCGATTTAATATTTATGATTTCATTGCAGCTGCATGTATTAACTTAGTCTTCTAGCAGGTCGAATGACGGGAACATGAGCGGAATAGCAACCAAAAAAAACTTGTAGACTGATATTTCGGGGCTCGTCTTTATCAGTGAATACCGCACATCGTACGTGCATCAACCTATAGATCGTAACAAAGTCCGGGTGCCTCCCTAAGATATTACTAACTGCAAAAGCTCTTCGTCGTCTATGTATAACGGACTGCATTTGATGTCTCTGTTCGAGATGCAGACGGGATCCTTGCAATATTGACGGTGTTCCGGACTCCCAAATTTACTGGGAGGCTCAAACATGCGGAACGTGTCAAGATCATTCAATATGTTTGCCCGCGATAGAGCCCCGAATG